TGTGCATCACGTTTTCGGCCGCTTTTATGCATATCACCCGGCTGCTTTTGGCCTGACTTATCACAGTGAATGCCGCGCGGATCGAAAATTCGGCACGGCAGCACCGGTGCACTCTTTCAAAAAGATATTATCGCCTATTGTTGCGTTTCACTGCGGCTGCCCACTGACAAAATTGAGTGCGGCTCTGATGGCCACTTTTCCGTGCTGCTGAGAGCTGCAAATGGCCAAATAGAGTTACATCATCGGCCAGCACTGTATGCCTTTGTATGCAAAATCTACGTTTTTTTGTCATTTGAAAAGAGGTTGGCCAGTAAAATTACCATATTAACAGAAGCCCTGCCAGGCCAGTATTAATTCTAAAATAAAAAAATGTTAACATTTGTCTCAGTTTACATCACAAAAATTAAAAAAAAAAATATATATATATATATTTTAAATATAAAAAAATGTAATTATTGATAAAGCTCACAACCTAATATGGCCAAATTTGTATTTTTTTTCTTCTTCAAAATTATTTTAATAATGATTAGTAAAATAGGTAGAAATTAAATTTTTTTATATCATTCTCCGGTTTAATATCGATCACAAACCAACGGCGTAATAGTTTTCAGGCTTAATTGTGAAAATAATCAGCGGGGGGTTGTTTATCCTATTATCGTCTGCGCCGCCGTCACAAGAATTCAGCCTTGCTCGCTTTGCACCGCGTTGTGCTTTACGATAAAAAATAAATAAAACAATGCTAATGCGACACACATCGTCATTCCACCGTACTGTTACCCGTGCACCTGACAATGAGACCGAAATCGCAAAAATTTCACTTCCGAGCACGCGACGTCAGTGTTTGTTGTCCGAGGACGGAAAAGTTTGATCATTTTGCTGCAGATCCGCCAGATTTTACAGCGTTGCATCGGATGCTGGCTGCAGCAGCGGCATATAAATGAACAAAGCTAAGAGGGCCCAGCAACCAATGGCCGTGTATTGTATTTCACCTGAATGCGCGAGGAGCCCCTCTCCCGTCAGGTGCCGTACGGTCGGGAGAGACGCGTCTTCTTGGAAGCTGATTTACACCCCTGGCCAGGAGGGCGAACAAAAACGAGCAGTAAAATATAACGCACCGGTCATCAAAGAGAAAACTCGGCCGACAAAAAATTTCAACAGGGTAAATCAGGTGTGCGTCTTTCTCGGCTATTGAAAAATTTTTTAGTGGAGGGAGGAACCAGGAACGTGTTGAATGCTGCTTCTTCATATCAAAAGGGAGTTTAATGATTAGGTTCATCGACCGACCAATGGATAAAAAGCTCTTTCGATTTCAGACAGTGCGGTTTCTCATCCTTGCACTTTTATTTGCACGTTTATAATCCGCGCAAATCCAGTCATGTGCATTAAAAATTCACTCGGGCGTGTAAAAAAGACGACAAACGAAAATTTAAAACAAAGAAACGTCCTTCTTTGCTTCATTTTGCAGCACTTTCCCTCATTGTTGAACTTTGGAACAAATATTTAATCGACTTCCTGAGAGGGAGAGGAGCGCACAGGGAAAAATGTGCGATAAATTGTGTGGTGCCTAAATTTTCCTGGTACTCCAATTAATTATTTAATCATCCATCTAGATGATTTAAAGCGCCCGTAGGTGTCAAGTGAGGAATTAGTAGGAGCTTTTTTATTTTTTTATTCGTCATATTTTTAGTATTAAATCCCCTAAAGTTAAAATTAAAACTAAGGATTCAAACGTGCCAAATTTTTTTTTTTAAACAAAACTTACTTAACAATTAGTAAGATTTTTAACTTAATTCATATTTTTTTACAAAGGCAAATAAAAGAACTAAGTTTTTTTTTATAATTCTTCTCCTGTCTTTTTCTATATCATATAATTTTGTGTAATTATTCAATTAGTTTGTCCGTTTACTTATTTATTTATTAATTTTTTGTTGTTATTTTCCTTGTAGCAATAAATAATGCTCTAAATTTAAGAGCATGAATAATCCATCCTCGAATGCTGATTTTAACTTTTCAGAATTTTAAACCTACCGAGAATCTGGCGACGCAAATAGCTCTAGTTAAAACATTCCACCCGCACAGCATCTTCGCAATGCTTAAAAAAATTCCCTAGATCTTTAGCGATAACTTTGGACGCCGTCCAAAGCCAAATTGCCAAGGGAAACCCCAACCGTGGGCGAGCACTGAAATTTTTGCCGCTTACATCTGATGAGGATGACGTTGTTGTGGTCATCCTCCTCGATGGTGGCGGTGCCCTCCTTGCACCCCTGCACGATGCTGGTGAGCGCCGTCGTCTGCGGAGAGCTGCTCGACTGTTGCTGCTGATTGTTGAGCAAGTTTTGCACCTCCACCTCCAAACTCTTGACGATCTTTTTGCGTTTGCTGCGTCTGAGGAGCACCGGGGGTCCGAACAGCAGGTCCAGCACCCCTGGCGCGTTGTCCGCCGTGGCCGCCAGTTTTCTTTCTTCAATGGTAATTATTCCAATTCACGCGGGCAGGCACATCACTCTCCACTCACCAGCCTCCTCGGAGACCACACAAACACTGGCTCGCTGCTGCCGAGGCCGCCGCCGCCGCCACCACGCATGCGTCGTGCAGACAAAACAAACCAGCAGGTGAGAGAGCGAATTCGTCGCCGTCTGGTTCCAGCCTGCCTTCCTCTCCTCCTCCACTTCGGAGGTACCTGAAGGCACATAGGACACCCTCGTCTCTCTTCCTGTGAGCTGTTGCCAGACCGTGCAGGCCCAGATAGTGTGCGGGGTGCACTGCACGGCCAGATGGTAGAGGCTAGATAGCCGAGCGTGCTCCATGATAATTGCCTTCCGCCCGCGCACTCTTTCTCCAAAAATAATGTGCCTGCCTTGTGCGCGACCGGCGTTTAATTTGGCTTCGTTGAATATTTAAAAATTTATCTTTAACAAAAAGCTGCACCATTAAAAAAATTGTGATAAAACCTAAATTCTTAATAACGTTTCCAGTATTAAAAAAGCTCCATGCAAAATTGTGTATAATTATAAAAAGAAAACTTATTAAATAGAAACCTTATGCAAAATTTGTATAACATAATTTTCTTGTAATACTAAATTGACGATATGAACTTTGTGAAATTTCATCAATTACTTTTGATGAATGCTCAATGTTGGTTCCCCCCTCTGTGTGTGGTAATTGATACACATGATGCGGGTGGAGATTATTTTGCAATAAAACGTGGGAAAATATTAATTACTTGGGTTAAAAACTTAGAAAAAAAGAGTGATTAAAGGGATATTTTCTCAAATTACAAGCAATAATAAGCATTATCCTATAATTCAAGAAATTGAAGGAGTGTATAATATCTTTAAATTAATAAATTATTTTTTTTATAATAGAACTACAATAAATTGAATGGTAACACTCGAGGTGGATTTCATGAAAAATCCTTGCAACAAGGTTTGCCCGGTTTCAATTTTTCACGAAATTTTAATTTTAGATTCTGGCTGTTTCTAGTCTTTTTTATTCATTTTTCATTTCCTTATAAAAATTAACGCACTTTTTCATGGTTGCTGCATATCCATGAAATGGTCTAGCGGTGTCAGAGAGTATAATTTACATTTGATTTAAATAAGCGCGTGAGACTCAATTAAAAATCGTGCGTCGACGGGAGTAGTTATTTTTTCCATGTTCACGGGAGAGTGACGTGTGATGTGACTCTGGCAAGTTAATATTCGAATATCAGTTACTAAGGAAGCCGTCAAGATCTGCTGCGTAACTTTGAATTAATTTTTTTTTAAATCAATGCTTTTTATATAATTTTCTGACAAAAAAAAAATTCTCTCATTTCAGCACTGTCATTTTATAATTTATTATGATCAAAATCTAACTTTTACCTGCGCATTTACTTTAAAAAAATGGTCAGTTTATCACGATTATATGCCAACGTTTTTCTTTGAGAGAACCGATTTTACTCGAAACAATGCATTTTGAATTTTTTTTTATAATAGTGCAATCAAACGCTTCGCCATAAAATTCACCTGCATTTATGATCCCCCTTGCTAGCCAGTTAGTTGGAATTTCATATGCACGCAGGTGCAATCGGTGCAATAAGAATGCAATAGCGCAAATCCGGTCTGCTCTGCATGCAAAATTGCAACATTTGAAAGAATTTCATTTGTCTGATGCTCCGGCGGAATTTTTTTTGAAACTGTAAAGTGCACTCTCAACATTTTGTGGGAATATTTAAGTAAATTGAGGCATGATTAGTATGTGCACTGGAGCTATCAGAGATAACTGTTAAACCCCAAAAATTATATGGTACTGGCAGAGAAGTTCCATGGATGATGGACAGTGCTTGGCCATTGAGAGAGTTAAACGTTTTCTTTTGCTTATCAGCTTCTTTAGGCTTCGAAAGGCAATTAAATTTATCAGCGGAAATTCAAAGAAAATTTTGACCTCAATGATCACTTTAAATGGTCCTTCTACTCTGAATTTTAAATAATTAAACTATATAATTAAAAAAAAGCATTTTTGATATTTAAAGCTAACACTGTGAGGTGGATTTAATTTATCATTTTATTTTGTTTTGAAAATAACAAAAAGCTCTGTTTGATTGAGATTAATATATTTGTAAGTTTTTATGAAAATTTATTTTTATTATGCCAGAATCTTTTGTTTCGAGGTTTTTACCCTTATCTTGACACTAAGTACGTTTTGGCCACCATGTAATTTTGTCCCTGGCGCAAGAATATTTTAATACATTTTGTATTAAAATAAATAAGTGTAAAAACACATCAGTTACAAAATGAAGATCGACATATTAATAAAATTAGTTCCTACCGTAAATTTCTGCCCCTATGTGAAACGTGATATTTAACAAAACCCAACAATGGCCTCTTTTGCAGATATTATGCTAAGCCTTTTACTTTGCTCAATGCGGACTGAAGATTAAAATTATAATTTTGCAGCTGCTAATTTTTTGCTACTAATTTGGGTGTTGTTGTGAATTAAAGAAAAAAATTGGTACTCACCAATTCCAGCTGCTGCTACTTTGGCCAGTCCCGTCATTTTCCACCCCCTCTTGCTGAACAGCCCCAAACCCTGCTTGAGGCTGCGCGACCTGCGGTGTCCAGGCAACAGGGGACTGTTTTCCTTGCGGGGTGGCGGAAGGGACACGTTGGACCTCCAGCCCAGAGCATAGCCAGAGCCACTTTGAAAGCCAGAGTCCGGGGTGAGCAGGTCATCGGTGGGACACACGGCGTCCAGGCCGGGGTCGTCGTCCGGAAGCACATCCCCAGGCATGAGCAGGGTCTCCATAGCTAGGTCGAGTTGTCCCAGCACCCACTGGTGGCCGCGCTGCACCTGCCGCACCTCCTCACTGGTTGGCATCGGCCGCGAGCAGCGCTCCTCAAAACTGTAAGGATTCTCAAAGGCACCCCTCGCCTCGCTGATTTCCTCGTATATGTTCTCCTCCACCCCATATGTGGAGATGTACCTCTGCCTGTCTGATCTGAAAACAGGATTACGCACACGTGAGTGGAGAATATGAGTGAGTCATCGTGTTTACAAATTGGCTAATTTGCCTACATAGGCTTTGATTTCAAATTTGTGGGTCAGAAAAGAAAATTATCAATTAATTATTAAAATTTTTGAAATACCCTTACGCTCTATGATAAAATTTGATATTAAATGTTAATAAAACTAATTACCATTTTTTTTTAAATTCCTAAATTTAATTATTAAGATTACCCTAAATTTGAAATTAAATATCAAATTGTGATAATTATTATTTTCTAATGAAATATTGAAACTATAATAGCTTAGCCAGTTTAGTTCAAAAATCTTGATATTGAATGTAAAGGCAAAACCATATTGTTGTATCAATTAAACTGAAGATTCAAAGCAATTCAATTTTCTAGACACAGGATAATAAATAATGATTGTTGCAAAATACTTCATAGTTTAAGATTTTCGAGATTTTCATGATATTTCTTAATGCAAATAAAATTTTTACAAATTTTTTTAGGAAAGCAATTAACAATAAATATAATAAGCTGTCCTTCTCTAAAAATTTAAATAAAAAAATTTGAAGGATGAATTTCCTTTTTTTAAATAAATCGTTCTCTAAAATTGACAATTATTGTATTTGTAACAATGTGTTTAAGCAAACAACAAAAATGATAATTTCAAAAGAATATTTATGCTAAGTAAGTACGTTGTTAATTTGTTAAGTTGCAATTTTATAATGTATGAATGATTTTTTGGGAAGTAATTGCCTGATGATACATCAATTAGGAAACCCTGCAAATTAAAACTGGCAAGAACATGCCTGATTTCTGATTAGTGAATATTTCAATACACTAATTTGAATTTAGTAATTATGATTGTGTTAAATTTTACCAGAAATACAAAAACCTTTCTGTTTTAAAATTAAAATTTGAAATATAATATTCTCAGTCATATCTTAAAAGAATTCCAGTTTAAAGTCAAAGCCTCAAGTATTATGTCTAGGAGCAAAAAAAAATGCAATAAAAGGAGCAGCTGAACTTGAGTGCAAACAAGCTTCGTATTTGCGTCAACGTGGCGTGCGTGCTTGAATGCAAATTGAGAAAATAATCAATAAATTCCAACGTTGAACTCTCTTGAAGAACAAACAACGACTGGCGTCGAAATCACCTGCTGGAGGGGCTGGGTCGCTGGTGCTGCTCCATCATCGAGTTGTAGACGTAAGAGTAGTCATGGGGATGCCCAACCGGGGGCGGCGGAGGCGGGTGCGTCCTGGCGGGCGCGAGAGGAGCGCTCTGGAGGAAGGGGTCGTTTCTTCGGGGTGTGCTGGGCGGTGGCGGCGGAAAGTGCAGCACCGGCCGCGGCCTGCCCTGCGAGTGGCAACCGGCCCCGTAGGTGCATTGGGGGCAGTCGCCCCCTGACGACGGACTCAACATCTGCTACGACTTTGCAACCGGCGTCTCTCACTTCCATCAAGAATCATCTGAAATTAGAAAACCAATTAGAAATTTATCCATAAGATTTAAAATTTGCAAAATTCACTAGAAATAAAATATTTTAATATTAAACGCAATTTTTATTTTAACAAACAAGAATTTTGTTAATTTTCATTAAATTTTTTATATTAATTTTTTTTTTCATTTATTGAGAAACCTTAAAATAAAATAAAGGAATATTCGTATTATGTATTATTTTCAATTGAATTCTGCGATCACAATTTTGAGCTCTGAATTAATGACGACGATCGAATTTCTCAATCTTCTTTGTCAATATTTGCTCTCTTGATTGATTCAAAGAAATACTGCGTATTGTCTTCAACCCTAACGATCAGTTTAAGGTTCAATCAAATATAGTTCCAGTCTGTTAATCGCGCACCAGTAAAAAGGATCTTCATGCATAATTTATGAATTAACTTCCGCTACAATACTGCTCTGATAATTTTTCAATCTCGTCTTTTCTAATTGAGAACTGATTAAAGCAGCACGAAAATGGCAAAAGCGAAATAATAAGCTATTGTCGGAATTGAAAAGGAGGTTGCCGAAAATGGAGGAGTGCGGAATGCACCCGTTCTGATCTGAGCAGTTTCGTGGGCCCCTCAATTGATTGGCTTCGGGCTAAATACAAATAATGTTATGCGAAGAATACACATACCGCCCAAAAGGAAGGAAAATTTCGGCGAATTCCCACGGTCCGATTTCGACATCAACTGCATATCTAAAATTTTATGAAAATTAAATTGAGCTGGGATAGTCAAAGAAGAGAGGAATTTTGGCGAGAATTATGTATTTTGAGGCTATTGTTTTGCAAACCTGACAGCAGCAGCACCTGCCTAGTCGCGAACACGCCAAGCACAATCATAAAAAGACCGAAACAACCGAACGTTCAACTCGCTAATTAGCGCCAATCAGCGGAAATATAAAAGTGCGATGCCGGTTGCTTGCGTGTGGTCGCGGATGTGCCGAGCTCGCGTCTTTTCCTCGCCGAAATTCAAACAAACTTTCGAGCTTTGGGAAAACAAAGAATAAAAAGCATGCATACCAGCTGACGCGGTGGTGACTGATCCGCTCTTTCGTCTCGGCGCCGGCCTAATTCGCCTTCCAATTTATGGCTCTCTCGCGAGTCACTGCTGACGACGTGACCTGTGACCCGAGCGGTCTGCTGCGAAAATCAACATCGTGTTTGTCCAACTCTGAACTTTCTGATTAAGGCTGCTTAAGTGCTTTGCTTCGCATGTCCAAGGAGGCTTGTCTGGACTGAACCTGTTGGCTGCCCGAGCCTGCCAAGCGGAGCGGCCTTGGAGGGGAAAGCACCAATCAAGGGCGGCTCAAGTTGTAATCAGCGATAGGCGGTGGAATTTTCAATGTTCAGCGTAGCCTGGAAAGCTTTTATAAAGCACCTTTTACTATCAATTTTTCCTACTGCTCAACGAGGAAAGATAATTCGTATACATCAGTTCATTAGCTTTTCAAGTATACGCCATGAAATATTAAAAAAAAAAATAATACGTAATATATACAAAATTGTAAATGTTTATTTTATAAATTTATCTTCCTCAAATCCGAGCTGTTATATAAAAAAATAAAAAATTTCAAATAAATTATTTATGTTATTTGTTCGTCCACATACATTTATTATTTTTATTTTAAGAGGAATGGAAATCTATTATTTTAATTTTTTTAAATAAAAAATTAAGCAAAATAGCACAAAAATAAAAAATGTTAAGTAAAGTAACTTTTAATTATTATTATGAAATTATTTAGCTCTTTATAACTGACCAAGCTTTGATTTAACCCCGCCATTTATATTTTAAATTATCAATTCTTTTTTACTTTTTTAACCCCTCAAAAAATAATCATTCGTAACTTTGCTTTCTGAGCGAGGAACACGCTGTAGCATTAGCAAAAGCTTGTGCCTTGTGCACTGCTAGAGCTTCGTACTGTGCTGCTCTCTTTTATTGGGCGCCGAACCACATTTTAGGACTAGAGCCTAGGGCTACCTCTTCTAACAGGCACGGCAAGTTCCATTATTGGTATAATATTCTCGCCACTCGACCAATTTGAATTTCAGAGTTTTAAGATAAAGGTCAATTGACAAATTACTCATGCTCCTTACCAAGATTGATTGCAATTGCGTTGCAGCTCGGTCCATATGTGAATATAATGTATTTTAATTGCAAATAAGTTTATTTTTATTTTCTTTAATTCTCAATTATACTGAATGAAATGATAATTTATGTAACAACCAATTACACGTCTCTCAATTTGTTTTTTCAATACAATTTAATTGCTACAATTGATTGATATGAATAATAATTTATTTTTTATTATTGTTACTGTTGTTAATATTCCACATCTTTTTTTCCAGCAACTTCGCTAAAACTTGATTAATGTTTCAAAATATACATACAAAATATAATTAATTTAACAATTTGCCTGCAACAAAATTTATTATGAAAATTGTATATTTTCAGGCCAGCCTTGAAACTCTAATCTGCATATTTTCCCTCTTGGAAAGTAAAAAAAAAAAAATGACTTCCTCTTACACATCTTTTTATTTATAAAAATTAGAACGATTCCAAAAAGAATCAGATCTGTGTTTACTATTTTATCAATGTAATATCCTTGAAGGTCGTTTTTTTGGTTGATCAATCCATCAGAACAGATCAAACATCCTGCTTGACAAAAGCGATCATAGATTATATTTTGAGGCAAACATTACAAAAGGAACAGAACAGGTTTATAATAAATGTTTTTGCATCTCTTTTATTTAAGTCGCGCGCGCGATTAGCATTGTGGTTTGCTAGAGATCGCGTTTACGATATAGATTAAATTTCCAAAAATAGTCGTCATTAGCCGTTTCTGCATTCCCAAGTCGTTTTGTGACGCTCTTGACACTTCAAAGAATTTTGTCACCACCAACCAATTAATTGCGAGGCGCAATGTTAATTGCCCTGTTTGTCCGTAAGCCGCGCGCAATGACAAAACGGTCAAACACCTTTTTCGCTCCGCGGGCGTTATGCAATAATTTTATCTTTGCTATCACAAGTGATTGTATTCTCGTTTTCAATTCTTTCAACCAGTGCAACAATTTATAAACAAAATTAATTCAATTAAAAAAATAATGTTAAATTTGAATCAAATTTGCATTTATCTTAATTAAGCGAGATTTAAAATATAAATAATGAGGATGAAACATATAATTTTCTTGCTTCATTACTAAATACATAAGTTACAAATTTTATGAGTTTGTTGACTCTCATCTGTTGATCTGTACAAATATACATAAAAAAATAGAATAGTACATTTCTGTTTTGGTGTTTATATTATTTGAGAATCACCTTTTAAATTTTATTTATAACAAAAACATCACCTCCAAGATAATTTGTATAAATCACAAAAAAATTTATAAATCAAGTTCAAAATAATTATAAGTGTTAATTTTCAAAAAAAAGAAAAATGAACTCTCAAATTTATAAATTTTTGTGAGTATTATTTTTTGTAAAAGTTTTGTGAATTATGAATTTGTTAAAATGGCAATGTTCATTTAAAATAGCTCTACAAAAATAATCTCTAGATTATTTTTGTCAAAAAAGTTTACGGCTCAATAATTAATAATCAATTCAATACGCACAAAAAAATAATAATAAATAATAATTCAATATTTCGAATTTTTAAAAGTTTTGTCATTCACAAAATAATTTTTACATTATTTTTCGGGGGGTTTTAATATAAGAGAGGTAAAATTCGTATTTTTTTATTATTATTTAAATTGTGCAACAATAATTTGTTAGCGTGGAATTAAATCAAGAATAAAATGTTATAATTTTAATACATATATTCAAGAAAATGTATTGAATACTGGATTATAAAAAAGAAATAAAACTTGAAAACCTGATCAATGTAACAACCGCCGCTCTAATTGCAAGACGGTAATTGATTTACCTGTTGGTTCGTGGTCGTTCAGCGAACTGGCACCTAATAAAGTGCTGAAATTATAGTTAAACGTGCGGCTCTCGATTTTATCTCCCAATTTTTTTTTGTGGTTAAGTACCTTGACGGAATCTCGTGCGTATATTTATCTGATGTATTATTTTTCGGCAAAATCCAAAGTGTGGAAAAGAGAAAAAGAAATTTGGAAAAGTCACAAGAAGAGGGTTGCAGTGCCGAGCAAGCTTACAAGGCGGAGTCCCCTATAGGCCCGGCGGCCCCCACTCCGCTCCTCTCGCGACTCTCTCACTCGGAGAGCGTGTGAGTCAGTCGGAGTAGTCGCGGTGGACGGTGGGACTCCCACTTCTTCGTTCGTCTTCATCCGTTGCCGACCGAATCGTCCGTCCGTCCGTACGTCTCTCGAGAGCCCGTCTGCCCTCGGCCGAATGTGTGCATGAATTTGGATTGTGTTTCGAGCGAGTGCAGTGATGTGGCTCGTGAACACCATCCACCGGCTGCTGGTGCTCCTCTTCGTCAGCCCCATGGTGCACGACCTGGTCGGCGCTGGGGGCCTCGTTGGCGCCGCTCGCGGCACCAAAAACACGCCTCTCATTCAGGAGGAGCCCACCAGGAAGAGGACCCTCATCTCCACAGGTAGGAAAAAATCAAAATAGGAAAATTAATATTTTTGTTTTCCTTCAAATTGAATTAAATGATTGGGGGAAAAACAACTAATTAATATGCATTTGCGCAGCAGTTGGAAAATTAGCAGTTTTGTGTTGAGTGGTGTGCGGTGTTGTGCGGAATGCACGGCAATATTGGTTCAGCAGGTCGAAAATTGAGCGAGTACATAGCTGGTTTTTGGTGCCAAGGGTTGGGTTGCTTTTGTTGGCCGCGCGCGCGGAGAGAAAGCAGCGGCGAACGAGGCGCGCGCGATAGCACTGGCGCCAGCCAATTCGCAAGTCTGCACATTTTTCCGATTACATTTCCCTCACCTGACTAAACTCGTGAGACTCGTTTTTGAGCCGCACCGTGTGCTCTAATCTGGTAAATATGTGTTTAAACGATGACGCCGAAAGAGAGACACACTCGCATTGCCAGTACATTTTATTTTTTTTCTTGTTTTTTTGCATGTATGTCACATCTGCGCGCGTTGCAATATCTCTCCTTCGAACCAACTCGCCACTTGCAAAATATATATGTGTGTGTACTTATTATATACCAGCAGCAGCACATATATTCACTCGCAAGTTCAATTGAGAAAAAAGAAAACGGCAGAATTTATTCAAATTAATATGCACAGAGCGCAGTCTTGGCGTAAAATTTTAACCCGACACTTTCTCAAATCAATTTTAGCCGAAGTTAAGTATTTAAAGGTACGTTTAGGAAATTTCCCGCCAATTTTAAAGTGTTAACATTAAAACGAAACGTAATTAAATACTTAATCAAAAACTCTAAAGGAATTGTGTTATTAACTTTTGAATTCAAGCATTTCTATTGGAAAATTATATTGAGATAGATATTTAACATAAGACCAAAGCAAATTTTAATTCTTGAGCAAATCTCAATTAAGAAACGTTGAAATTTTTTTCTTGAAAATGTGATAATTATTATCAAGCTCAATTAAATGTATTCCTCATTATTCTAAAACGATTATTTAACCACCTATCCGAGACCTATCCCAATATAACAGAGTGAAAATTCAGCTAAAAAACCAGCCTTACAAAGTACTTAATTTTTTTTAAAGAATTATTTCAGTTCTGAGTTTTGTTGCATAAACACCAAATGATATTATTTGCACGCGATGCAAATTTTCAAATTTTTTCTTTTTCGAAAGTTCCTTGGCCCTTTTTTAGTTATAATGTGACCCCGAGTCTCCATTTGAAGTCTGGAAGGGCATTGAAAAATTTCGTCACATACACTGGTAGCGTCTTCACTGTGCTACTGGATTATATAGAGTTAGCCTGGAATTGATGGTATTTGTGTAAGTAGCGTTTCTAGAGCCAGTTCCTGTTTGGATGCGCTTGTGCAAGAATCGATTAAATGTACGAACGGCCGCGCAGAAACAAAGAATGCATTTATATTTGCACGCTAAAACGCCAGCAGATGGATATGGAGTGCGAGCCGCCGAGCCACGGGGAGCCACATATTTACAAGGTGACTCTTGCTCGGCTGCCTGCTTCGAACGAATGGAGAGAGAAAGACGCGGCGCGAGCGGCAAATTCACTGCTCGTGTACAACAAATTACAAGCAACAAACCGCTCGCCTAATCAAATTTACACAAAAAATATTCACGAGAGCCATAAAATTGGTGCTCTTGCTCGCGGCCGCCGCCACAGTTTGTCACCGGTTTAACAAACTGCCTCTCCTGACACACACCAAGTTTTATCTCTCGCGGCACAGCAGGCCAGGCGGTCCGAGCGCTTATTCATTTAGGCAATTTCATCCGCCGCTAAAATAAACGCCTTTATGTATAGACGAATCGATTACGGCAGACCGGCCGAGAGGAATCAGATAAATTGGTTCTCCACGCTTGAGGTAGCCAAAATTTAAAACGCGAAAATAAAATAGCGATGTTGACTTTATTGAAGTATTATTTTTATCTTGCTCGTTGTGGAATACATACGCGAACTGAATAAACAAGTCAATTTTTTCTAATGGAATCCTTTCAAGTTTAAATATTTTATTTATTCACTAATATAAGTAGGACCTTTTTATTCATATTACATTAAGTTTCAGTACAAAAAAAAGTGGTTAAAAAAGGGCGGCAAGATAAAAAAATCTAAAAATTATTTGAAATTTATAATTAATCTGAATTATTTGGAATTATTTAATTTTTAATTGTGTACTTTACCTTTGTTTTTTATTTTTCAAACGATTTTTTGAGCATCTATACAACTTTTGATCTTTGACAATTCCTCAAAATATTTGTGTCCTGATTATCCATCTTGCGAGAAAAAAGCAACTTTGATAAAGAAATGATTAAATATAAAAACAAACGTCAAAAAAGTATCCTCCTTTTGCCACTTATGCATTTTTCAAACAAATAGCAATTTTTAAACCACAATATCCTCGCGTACATGATTTTCATATTTAGAAAAATTACGCATATGTAAAGTCATCAGGCGGAGTGAAATAAGAATTAATAATAATAAAACGCAAACAGAATTAAAAAGCGGCAATAATAATGAGGGTAATTTTATGCAAACTGCTGGCCTTGGACAAAGTAAATACATTTTGCCAGAAGATTTTTTTCTTTAAATTATTCGAGATTTTTCTGCTGCCTGCCTTGGAGTTGAAATTTCACCTTTTGTTATTCTCACATCGGATGAATAGAAGAGAAACGCGGTTTGGCTCTTGAAAAATAAAATATCTTCACACTTGACTGACCGACTTGAAATTCTGCGCGCAGCCTCACAATCAATGTCAGCCAAGGGAATTTGCCGGACAAAGTTTCAGCGGGCGTCGTCGGACGAACTGAATCGAAATAGCCTCATTTTATAGTTATTTACCTTTTGTCATCATAAATAACAATCGATTTGGGCTTTTGCCACACAAATCCCCTCTCACATTGTTATCCTCACATGCGTTTGCGAAACGAACAATAAAAATGCAAATAATTTGAACAATTTTAAAATGCATGAGACGTGGCCGGAATTCTGAATCACGCGGGGACGATCAACATAATTAACTGTATATAAATTTACTTTGTATTTTAAAACGCAGTTTGTTGCGACCAAGGGGGAAAATATATAATATTTTTGAACGCGCGTGCCAAAGGGTTAAAATTTAAATGTAGGCCTCGGCTGATGAATTTTTACACTGGAAGAGCATTAATATTTTCGCCAAACCGAAACTGGCCTCGGCTGCCAAGTTTTGAGAGGGACAGAGGGTTGCCAGCCGTCTGTTTTTATTTGGGCGAAATCCGAGTGAGATTGAGAGAGCCAGAATTCGCCGCTTCGTTTTAGAGCGCACATCTCAATTTTTCTCACAAAAGTTAATTGGGTGGGTCTTTTGGAATTACTAATTGCTCTGCGATTGTCTAGACCGGACTTAGACTTTGGCCCTTGCGTTTTCCGAATTCCCTTTTCTGACGTCACGCAATCCATATCAGATTCGATTTGAGCAGTAAAATCAATCAGTCAGTCAGTCAGCGAGAGGTAAAAACGCATTTCCTCTCTCAATTTCTGCGCACATCGTAAAACGCGTATTAATAGCTTCCTTTGGCCCCAAGGCATCACAAATTGGAGAGTGCTGATGTTATTTTGGGCGTGAAGCAGCTGGCAAAGAATGCTGGTCTTTGGAGCTTCTTTTCTCATTACTGCCTGAAATCTGCTTTGCCTCCTCGCCAGGGTGGAAAAGGAAGGAGTGCCTCACGGCTCGCGCTGCATGTGGTTGCCAGACAATGGGATTTGGGGAATGTGTGCAATTCCAATAAGCTGCTTCTCAGAAGATTAGGAATTAACGTTCAGCTGCCGGACTTGCAGGCCTTGCACCCAAACACGCGAAACGCAAACACCACCTGAAGAGCGAAAGATCATTCAGTTTTCTGTGTAAAAAATATCCCTTCGCTGAGATTACAGGTGTTGTTTTTTTTCTTCCATTCATCACAACTCAACTGGTAATGACATAATTTTGCCAAATGCCACGATCCTTGTTGGGATGGACCTCGCACACCTGCGACGGCCGTCTGGAAAATAACACTTCTTATATAAGCCCGTGTGGGCCCCTCACTCCAAAGAGTTAATTCAATTCACGCAGCAACGCACAGGTGGACAACCCGGCATTTTATTTAGCTAACTTTTGTCATCCTAATATTTTTCACCTGCAGCGCGCGAGTTTGGTTTTGCCAACAATACATTGCTTGGAGCAGCTCATAAAACTATTAAAGAAAATTTCCTAATGGCTTTTAAATTTTTGCTGGAAGGAAAATATAAATTGGAATTTCTCTTTCAATTCAATGTGATGCGTTTTTGATGGGGCGAAAATCGAATGTCCTCTGAGCAAATTCAACATCGGTTGGAATTGAATCACAAAATAAGTGCTAATTGAGTTAGTTGCTGATAAGTGCCCTAAACGCTACTTGAAAATATCGCGTCAGCATTTCAAAGCTCAATTGCAAAATCATCAAAACACTCGTGTCCTTATAAAAAGTAGTGGATTCAAACCTGTTTAAAAAATATAAACATTAATTTGGTTTCGAGATTATAACTTGCCCTGATTCTTATTTTAAAATTAAATTGAACCCACTCGACGATTCTGTAAATTACGATTTTGGGCGCAATTAGCACGCAGGGTGGTAACCGACAAGTATTTTTTGCCAGTCGCCAAGGCTGGAGAGTTTCTTCTTTTTTCCATTCCAAAGCGCCCAATTATTGTTTTCGTGCTCTCTTCTGCATGCGGAGCGCGAGGATCAAGTACCTTTTGTTATATAAAGCGGCGGAGGCACTCAAGGAAAGCAACACAAGCTGCAAAGGGTTATAGTACTGTCCGCGGAGAACAATAAAAATGATAAAATTGTGTGTGCTTCTCCATGTAAGGTCACCGTCACATGGCTCTGCTGTGTTCAAGTGAAGGAGACGCGTGCTGTGGGAAAGAAATACTGCGGAGGGGCTCAGTCATGGGGCAGCTCCTTCGAATCGGAAAAAAAGCAA